TATCACTACCCCTATCACCACCCCAACCCCTATCACTACCCCCAACCCCTATCACTACCCCAACCCCTATCACCATCCCTACCCCTATCACTACCCAACCCCATCACCACCCCTACCCCTATCACTACCTTAACCCCTATCACCACCCCTACCCCTATAACTACCCCAGCCCCTATCACTACCCAACCCCTATCACTACCCCAACCCCTATCACTACCCCAATCCCTATCACTACCCCAACCCCTATCACTACCCTAACCCCTATCACTACCCCAACCCCTATCACTACCCCAACCCCTATCACTACCCCAACCCCTATCACTACCCCAACCCCTATCACTACCCCACCCCTATCACTACCCCAACCCCTATCACTACACCCAGCCCCTATCACTACCCCAACCCCTATCACTACTCCAACCCCTATCACTACCCCAACCCCTATCACTACCCCAGCCCCTATCACTACCCCAACCCCTATCACTACCCCAACCCCTATCACTACCCCAACCCTATCACTAACCGAATCACTACCCTATCACTACCCCTATCACCACCCCAACCCCTATCACTACCCCAACCCCTATCACTACCCCAACCCCTATCACTACCCCAACCCCTATCACCATCCCTACCCCTATCACTACCCCAACCCCTATCACTACCCCCAACCCCTATCACTACCCCAACCCCTATCACTAACCCCAACCCCTATCACTAACCCCAGCCCCTATCACTACCCCAACCCCTATCACTACTCCAACCCCTATCACTACCCCAACCCCTATCACTACCCCAGCCCCTATCACTACCCCAACCCCTATCACTACCCCAACCCCTATCACTACCCCAACCCCTATCACTACCGAATCACTACCCTATCACTACCCCTATCACCACCCCCAACCCCTATCACTAACCCAACCCCTATCACTACCCCAACCCCTATCACTACCCCCAACCCCTATCACCATCCCTACCCCTATCACTACCCCAACCCCATCACCACCCCTACCCCTATCACTACCTTAACCCCTATCACTACCCCAACCCCTATCACTACCCCAACCCCTATCACTACCCCAGCCCCTATCACTACCCCAACCCCTATCACTACCCCAACCCCTATCACTACCCTAACCCCTATCACTACCCCAACCCCTATCACTATCCCAACCCCTATCACTACCCCAACCCCTATCACTACCCCAACCCCTATCACTACCCCAACCCCTATCACTACCCCAACCCCTATCACTACCCCAACCCCTATCACTACCCAGCCCCTATCACTACCCCAACCCCTATCACTACCCCAACCCCTATCACTACCCCAACCCCTATCACTATCCCAACCCCTATCACTACCCCAACCCCTATCACTACCCAGCCCCTATCACTACCCCACCCCCTATCACTACCCCAACCCCTATCACTACCCCAACCCCTATCACTACCCCAGCCCCTATCACTACCCCAACCCCTATCACTACCCCAACCCCTATCACTACCCCAACCCCTATCACTACCCGAATCACTACCCTATCCCCACCCCTATCACCACCCCAACCCCTATCACTACCCCAACCCCTATCACTACCCCAACCCCTATCACTACCCCAACCCCTATCATCATCCCTACCCCTATCACTACCCCAACCCCATCACCACCCCTACCCCTATCACTACCCTAACCCCTATCACTACCTACCCCAACCCCTATCACTACCCCAACCCCTATCACTACCCCAGCCCCTATCACTACCCCAACCCCTATCACTACCCCAACCCCTATCACTACCCCAACCCCTATCACTACCCCAACCCCTATCACTACCCCAGCCGCTATCACTACCCCAACCCCTATCACTACCCCAACCCCTATCACTACCCCAACCCCTATCACTACCCCAACCCCTATCACTACCCCAACCCCTATCACTACCCCAGCCCCTATCACTACCCCAACCCCTCTCACTACCCCAACCCCTATCACTACCCCAACCCCTATCACTACCCCAGCCCCTATCACTACCCCAACCCCTATCACTACCCCAACCCCTATCACTACCCCAACCTCTATCACTACCCGAATCACTACCCTATCACTACCCCTATCACCACCCCAACCCCTATCACTACCCCAACCCCTATCACTACCCCAACCCCTATCACCATCCCTACCCCTATCACTACCCCAACCCCATCACCACCCCTACCCCTATCACTACCCCAACCCCATCACCACCCCTACCTCTATCACTACCCCAACCCCTATCACTACCCCAACCCCTATCACTACCCCAACCCCTATCACCATCCCTACCTCTATCACTACCCCATCACCACCCCTACCCCTATCACTACCCCAACCCCTTTCACTACCCCAACCCCTATCACTACCCCAACCCCTATCACCACCCCTACCCCTATCACTACCCCTACCCCTATCACTACCCCTACCCCTATCACCACCCCTACCCCTATCACTACCCCTACCCCTATCACTACCCCAACCCCTACTACTACCCCAGCCCCTATCACAACCCCTATTACTACCCCTATCATCACCCCTACCCCTATCACCACCCTTACCCCTATAACTACCCAACCCCTATCACCACCCCTACCCCTATCACTACCCCTACCCCAATCACTACCCCAACCCCAACCCCTATCACTACCCCAACCCCTATCACCACCCCTACCCCTATCACTACCCCAGCCCCTATCACTACCCCTACCCCTTTCACTACCCCTATCACTACCCCAACCCCAACCCCTATCACTACCCCAACCCCTATCACTACCCCAACCCCTATCACCACCCCTACCCCTATCACTACCCCAACCCCTATCGCTACCCCAACCGCTATCACTACCCCAACCCCAACCCCTATCACTACCCCACCCCCATCACCACCCCAACCCCTATCACCACCCCTACCCCTATCACTACCCCAACCCCTATCACTACCCCAACCCCTATCATTACCCCAACCCCTATCACCGCCCCTACCCCTATCACTACCCCACCCCCATCACCACCCCAACCCCTATCACTACCCCAGCCCCTATCACTACCCTAACCCTATCACCACCCCAGCCCCTATCACCCACCCCAACCCCTATTACTACCCCTACCCCTATCATCACCCCTACCTCTATCACGACCCCAGCCCCTATCACTACCCCAGCCCCTATCACCACGCCAAACCTTATCACTACCCCTATCCCTATCACTACCCCTACCCCTATTACCACCCCAACCCCTATCACTACCCCTACCCCTATCACCACCCCTACCCCTATCACCACCCCTACACCTTTCACTACCCCTATTACTACCCCTATCACCACCCCAACCCCTATCACTACCCCTATCACTACCCCTATTACTACCCCTATCACCACCCCTTTCCAATGTTCATGCTGCTGATGACGACACGAGCGGACCTGTTATGGAGGGTTTTCTTTTTTTCGCAGCAATGAAATAACTAAATTGAGAAATCATTAATTCGTATTTCAACTAACTGGAGGCAAAACCAGATCTGACACACCACAGAGCGATTCGTGTCTCGTGCCACGGCACCCTAATTGGGCCCCTGACGTTCACAATGTTCACGGGGCGACAACCAAAATAACAAAGAACATTTTTATTCCCGAATTTGGTAAAAAAAAAAAAGCAATTTCAAGAGCCGCGATGCGCTGCGTGGTGAATAGGAGACGGTGTGTCAACGTCATGGAGCAGCTCCAGTATGAGCTGCAGATTGCCAACCCCCTGACAACGATCATGAGCGGAATCAAATAATGGACGAGTTAGAGGCCAACAATCTACGCGAAACGAATAACAAATATCACACTTGTCGTCGTGTTTTGTTCGAATTACGTGACTCCAATATTCCACACATTTAGGACGCGCGCCTTTAATGCCCCGCACGGATTGTTCATTACACCTCAAGCAGAGCTGTAATTTACCGACATCGGGTAATGCACCACCACGTTTGACACGACGCTTGTTTGTAGCAATTTGTGAGCGGGCTGAGACCATGAATTCTCTGCTCTGGAGAGAACCTCTGGCTGTGGCTGGAGCTCAGATACAGGCTCCACCTGCTTTGTTGCTGTTGTTTTGTTGTTGTTGATGTTGTTGATGTTGTGCCATTCTTCGCAAAGCCTGCTGATGTCTCCGTGACCCACATTAGGCTAATTCGCAATGGCGCTCACGGCCACGGCTGTTTTGTTAAAATACCGGAATCTATCCCGCAGTGATGTCGTCTATCGGCGATGAATGAAAGATCGTGCATCGAGGCGCCAAACATCTTCTATTACATATCGGTACTTTTTTCCCATCCTCACTACATTTGTGGGCTCCGTTTCTTTTTTTTTGTAATCTTTGCGGTTAAAGGTAAAATAATTAAATGGTTTCAAAACGTAATACCCACCTCGTTTTCCAGCGTACAACTCAGCCGTGCTGCAGCCGTACTGAGAAAAGCCCGGCACGGGTCGAAAGGCAACGATGTCGTTCTTCTTCTTGGTTCTTTCGGTAAAGTCACGTAGAAGGGAAATGATAAAATAATAAAATAAAACATTAAATAATTCTCACGACGTTTCGGCCACAACGCAAGCTGCCGTCCTCAGATGAAGACCAGGTCTGTCGGGGAGACAGCGTCTGAATGAAACGATGTAGTTGTTTTCCACTGCAGAAGTCGAGCCGTGCTGCCGACGTCACCGGCAATGAATGAGTTGACAGGCGTGTAGATGACGCGGAGTTTGAGTCTCGTACTCGCTGTCGCCGCATGCAATAACCCCGTCGTTAAACCCACCCCTGGCTCTGCTCGGCTGGGGGGGTGGGTTGAAGGAGGGGTTCATTTCCAGTGGAAAACCATCCCTACGGTGAGGGCCCCGGGCTGGCACGGCTCGGATGTACCCAGTGGAAAATGGGTCAAATTGACTTGCACGAGGGGGGGGGGGGGGGGGGGCTACGTCCAGGGCCTCGCTGCTCACGGCGTGCAGCAGCCCTTCACTCTGTTCATCAACTTGGGGTTGCCCAGGCCGATGATGTACGGGCTGATGGTCGGGTACACCATCGATGCGAGTCTCACCGTGAACACGAGCGAGTCCGACACGTCGTCCAGCATGTAGATGCCGATGAGGGTGCTCACGAAGTAGACTCCCCAGCAGCTGGCGAACACGAGGCCGAGCAGGACGATGAGGTAGGCGGCGTGGATGTGCGCCGCCCGTCGGAGGGGCATCCCCACCCAGTTGTTGACGCGCAGCTGCGGCTCCGTGCGGTGCTTGTGGCGGCACAGCTTGGCGATGGTGGCCACGCTCACGCCGAGCATGAGCAGGAAGGGGATGATCTCGGAGAGCGAGAGCAGCGTGTACAGGTACGCCTTGTTGGTGATGTGCGAGAAGCAGCCGTAGAAGTTGCGCAGGTCGCTCGAGTTGGCGCGCAAGGGGCCCGTCCGCCGGGTGAACACGGCGGTGGGCGCGAACAGGGCACCGCACGCGAACCACACGAGGAGGATGCACAGCGCGGGCTTTCTCCGCGTCTCCACCTTCCGCAAGATGCGCTGGCAGCGAAGGGAGCAGCTGAGCTTAAAGAAGCGGAAGATGCTCAGCACGAGCGTGTTCCACACGGTGACCGCGGTGGTGACGAGGAAGCCGAGCATGACGACCTGGCAGCCGGAGTCTCCGAGGGGGCAATGTCCCGTGCCGGTGTAGATCAGCGCCGGGATGTTTCGGAAGGCGATGTTGAAGAGGTTTCCCGTGGCCAGGTTCACGTGGAGCAGGTCCGCGGTGGTGACGTGCTTGCTCTTCCACGACTCGTGCAGAGGAAAGATGAAGACGAATATATTGCCGAACGTGCCCAATACGGTCATGGAGATGTATATGGCGAAGTGATATGCCTGGTGCATCGTGCTTGCTCATTCGTAAGCTCTGGAATACAAACAAACAAAACTCACACTATGAGATCTCTTTTACCAGTGGCAAAATATAGTAGTAGGTTTTTACCCTTTTAAACTGGTACAAAACTGACACCTTTATTCAAGGCATCATGTTAGCAATAACCACAACACAAGTAGTCAAAAAAGCAAACAAAAAGAAGCAACTCTGATAATGATAATAATATGCACTGTCCTTGAAGTCGGGTGTGGACCAATCAACTTCAAGGACAGTGCATATTATTATCATTATCAGAGTTGCTTATTTTTGTTGGCTTTTTTGACTACAGGTGTTGTGGTTATTGCAAACATAATGCCTTGAATAAAGGTGTCAGTTTTGTACCAGTTTAAAAGGGTAAAAACCTACTACTACAAACAAAATTCGTTAAAGATGGTTAGTTTGAGGCAAAACAGTGTGAGCTAGACGTGCACAATTGCAAAGGCGTGTTGTCTGTGGTTAGCGCACTGCGCTACCGGAGTTCGATTCCCGCTCACGGCCAACACCATTGATGATTATTGGAACCGGTTCTGCTCCTCCCCGAGATCGACTCGGCCTCAACTGAGTGCTTGTGTGCGGTGTGTCGTGAAGATCGCCACTGGGGACACAAAGGCGGCCGGGCGTGGTGCTGGCCACTCAGCCCATCATGTGCCCGTGCCGGCTTTCACAGGTGCTAGCAGCACTTGCTCCTGCAACCTGCGAAGGCTTTGTCTTTTGTGAGATGTGTTCATTATTCGAGTTCGAGCACTGCCCACGCATGAACTCTCGTGCGATTACTCGAAATAATCGTTGAGCCCGTGTGCTTCGAAGCGATTTTATAAAACGTGTGGGCAAGACCAGATTGGATGCTCAGGATGTTGACTCGGACATCGCGTAGCAGCGAGCAGTCGGTTCGAACGCTCGAGGGTTCTTCGTGCAGTTTGACCGCGTGCGAGGAAAGTTTCTTTGGCCACGTGCGTCCCCAATTCTTCGCGAATGTGCGACCCTGCGACTCGTTGACGGTCATCGCAAACACCGCGGGGATTGGCAAACCGGCTCCGCTGCGTCGCGATCGGCATCGCGGGGGCTCGGTAGTCTCTTGAGACCCATCGAGGCTGCGATCGGCGAAGCACCGCACAGCGGGCTGTGACATCTGACCCTTTAGGCGGAAGTCTCTCAAACGGAAGGTGGTGATCATTCCCTCCGAGTGGAAATCGCCGGCCACTTTCCAGCGCCCATTAAACATTTGCGTTCGGTTTGAGGTCGTGGAGTGTAAGGCGGCGGTCCAGTGACATAATTTACAAAAGGGTGCCACGGTAGCGATATGTTAATTACCTCGCCTAGTGTGCAATAGGTCGTGGGTTCGATCACGACCCTGGCGCTTGCTGTATATTTAGTCGCGTGGATTTTTCTCCGGGACCTCCGGGTTTCCCCTCCATATTTAGGAGGAACACGCGTATAAAGTCTATTTGGCTGCTAGAAACTCCCACGTGATGAGCAACTTCGTTGAGCTATCGTTTTGTGGCCAGGTCGCTTCTGAAAAATAGCTCTATAGCTCAGTGGGACTTACCTGGTAAAATAAAAAAACAAATTGTTTAGTTTTTTTACTTTACAAATAGCTAGATGTTCCGAGGCAAGTTTGTAAACGTTTCTGGGTCAAAAGGTTTTAAACCTTCCCAAAGGCAGCAATTTTGCACAATGTTCTAAGAAAAATAACCCTTTTTTGTTCCATTTATTTTGAACCCAACGTGTCGATGGAACAGACGGAGGCACGATTGGACACACGTGAATTATAGAGACTGAATATTGATTGTTGAGAGCGGTAGCGTGGTTAGCGCACTGCACTGAGAACTGGCGACCAGAGTTCGATTTGTGCTCGCGGCCAACATTAGTTTAAGAAGCCCTGAACCAACAACACGGAGTGCACGGCTGAATACTCTTTGTTTTTTTCGCTAAAGTCATGTAGGTAAAAATTTTAAATAAATTAAATCACGACGTTTCGGAGGCAACACAAGCTTCCGTCTTCAGGTGGAACCGCCACGTTGAAAGTGGATCCTCTTACCTGCTCATCCAAACCACAACCTCTCACCATTGCCTGACCACTCACTTCAATCAACAGGCACCCGCCTGCTCCCATAATCCAAGCTGTTCCTGCCAACTTATTTCGCACCGTATGTAGCCAGCCGTGCTACGTACCCATGGTGATATCCTCCTTGAATAGTTGACATCCATAAGTCCTTTGCTGCATTGGCATTGTTGCTACATTGACATTGTTGCAGCATTGGCATTGCTGCTGCATTGTCATTGTTGCTGCATTGGCATTGCCGCTGCATTGGCATTGTTGCTATATTGCTGCTGCATTGGCATTGTTGCTGCATTGACATTGTTGCAGCATTAGCATTGCTGCTGCATTGGCATTGTTGCTACATTGTTGCTGCATTGGCATTGCTGCTGCATTGGCATTGCCGCTGCATTGGCATTGCTGCTGCATTGCTGCTGCATTGGCATTGCTGCTGCATTGGCATTGCCGCTGCATTGGCATTGTTGCTACATTGCTGCTGCATTGGCATTGTTGCTGCATTGACATTGTTGCAGTATTAGCATTGCTGCTGCATTGGCATTGCTGCATTAGCATTGCCGCTGCATTGGCATTGTTGCTACATTGTTGCTGCATTGGCATTGCCGCTGCATTGGCATTGCTGCTGCATTGGCATTGTTGCTACATTGCTGCTGCATTGGCATTGCTGCTACATTGACATTGCTGCTGCATTAACATTGCTGCTGCATTGGCATTGTTGCTACATTGGCATTGCCGCTGCATTGGCATTGCCACTGCATTGCCACTGCATTAGCATTGCTGCTGCATTGGCATTGTTGCTACATTGGCATTGCTGCTGCATTGCTGCTGCTGCATTGGCATTGCCGCTGCATTGGCATTGCCACTGCATTGGCATTGCTGCTGCATTGCTGCTGCATTGGCATTGTTGCTACATTGACATTGCTGCTGCATTAACATTGCTGCTGCATTGGAATTGTTGCTACATTGGCATTGCCGCTGCATTGGCATTGCCACTGCATTGCTGCTGCATTGGCATTGTTGCTACATTGGCATTGCTGCTGCATTGCTGCTGCTACATTGGCATTGCCGCTGCATTGGCGTTGTTGCTGCATTGGCATTGCTGCTGCATTGGCATTGCTGTTGCATTGGCATTGCCGCTGCATTGGCATTGCTGCTGCATTGCTGCTGCTGCATTGGCATTGCTGCTACATTGGCATTGCCGCTGCATTGGCATTGCCGCTGCATTGGCACTCGTGCACTGCCCATGCTCCTGGTGCTGTTGATACACTTGGGCTATGCCCATCTCCAAACCTTTGTGAACAGTTTGCCTTTAGAGGCTGACTCCTTTGCGTGATGACGACCGCTTGTGTTGCGATCGAAAGGTCGTGATATTTTGATTCACTTTGTTTTCATTCTCATTTTTTCAATTTACGTGACTTTACCGAAAGAACCAACACATCCACCCTTACTAACCACACGCTCGGATAGTGCTCGTTACCGTCGCATTTCACCTTTAATGGTTAAAAAACACGGCATGCCACTTAAGAAAAATCTCAAGTGAAAGTGAAAATGTGTCCAGAAGAAGGGTGGAGAATTGCACGCGTGGGAGTGGTGCACTCAGACACAGCCAGATGAACGAGTGACAGCTTCTGATGACACGGTCGAGACTGTTAATAAGAGGGGGGCTGGTTAGCGGTAGGGCACCTCGCTAGGTGATGGCCAATCATCTTGACCAGGAGGGCGGCAACATTTGCTTCCGCAGCCGCGTGCGCTGGCTCTCTGAAGGATGATTTTCTTTGTGATTTTATTTATTAAGAAGCGCCGTCTCGTATTCACCGCGTGGCAAGGCCGTAGCCATGGAGTCAACATTGGGGGGGACCAAATTTTCCAGGGGTTCTGGGGTCCCCCCCCCCTGAAAAAAATCAAAATTTGGAAACGAATTTCCCGCCTAAAATATTAATAAATTCACTAACATACAGGATGGACTTTTTATTTATTTTTTACAATAATGTCTAATAGTGTATTGTATTACATTGCTCTATTTTTATTATTATTGTTTCATTGTATGTAATGGCAGAGATTAGGGATTAATAAAGTACAACCATAACCACAATCATATAAACAGAAATCTATTTTATAGCCATATATTGGGGCGGACATTTTGAGCATATTTGGATATTGGTGGGGATGTGTGTCCCCCAATATTTATTATAATTAAGGCCTTGTCGCGTGGCATTGCGGATCTCGAAATATTTTTTTTAACCAAATATAAAAAAGCGTCTCTTCTTGTTAGTTTGGATGCCCAAGCCCTGGTCTAGAGGAGGAGGAAGAAGAGTGGAGTAGTGGCCACGTGATGGAGCGTGTCCCGGGAGGTCACGCGCTGAGGACTTGGAGTGGTGCAATCCGCTCGTGTGCTGAATGTGAACGGCGACATCCTAGGAACGATGTAATCATCCACCCTTAAACCCAGTAATATCGATATAACAATAGGTTTTACCCTTTCTGGCAATAAAACAGTTGTGTTTAGATGTTAAAACACAAAACAGAATCCCTTTTTATTACAAGCTTTTATTTAACTCACTCTGTCTGTTGTTGTCGTTGTTGTTGTTGTCGTATCCTCAAATCTTGTAACAAAATTTTAACCCACTTCCCGATGTGGTATCGACTGTAAACTTCGTATACTTATGTCTTACTGATGACAATACTATATTCTATCATGAAAAAGAAAAAATATTTTTAAACAATATTTTTACACGCTTTCTATTAACTCACTCTGTCTGTTGTTGTTGTCGTATGCTCAAATCTTGTAACTCAAATTTTACCCACTTCCCATAATGGTATCGACTGCAAACTTGGTATACTTATGTCATACTGATGACAATACTATATTCTATAAAAAAGAAAATTAAACCATCTTTTGTATATGTTATGTTTCGGCTTGGGTCTAATT